GTAGCCTATGTGTTCTTCCAGGCTATCCTCTACATTTATACCAAATTTCATTGAAATCCGTTAAGCCGTTTAGGCTATGAAGTCTAACAAACATCCATCCATCCATCCATCCAAACTTTCGCATTTATAATATTAGTGATTGCTCGTGCACGCTTAAAAAAAAATTATCCGGAACAAACGCACTTAAGGACAAATAGGCCGAAATAATCAATGGTTTTTCGTCAACAGCAAGACAAATGTCTATAAAGCATGCTTTTGTTAGATATTACAAAATTGATAATTAAATAAGTTATGACCGGAAACTCAAACCTGGTGACATCAAAAGTGGAATAGAGCTGTTAAGAATCTGTTTGAAAGTATTATTTAGGTGATAAGCATATTTTGATTATTATATAAATGTGTACCCAGGTCCAGTATGAAGTTGTACTTGTAAGGCGCATGGTGCGCGTTGTGCGAGAGCGGCAGATGCGCGTGCGCGTGCTCGTCGGTGTCGCGTCGTGCGCGCCGCGCGCGGCCACGCCCCGCCGCCGAACTCTCAGACGCTTTGCGCGAACGACTCGCTATAACAAAATACAATTAAAATACATTTATTGAAGAAAATAAATGAAAAAAATTAATTAAGAATGTTATAACGAGGAGTTCCCTTGAAGCTTTACCCGCATGAAATTATAAAAACTTTATTTTATAGTTTACAACATTCAACTGCACAAATGACCACGATGGCCTTTGACAACAATTACCGTTACCATGGCAACCGTGCTTCTTTGATGCTTTAGCGTTTAGTTTTTGTCCCTTTCCCGCATGATGGTTTTTTCCAAATTGCTTACTTCCCAAGTAATAGCGTAAGGACATAGTCTAAAGCGTGTCTGAAGTGTACAGCTTTTTATTAAATAAAAAGAGTTATTCAAAAACATACTGATTTCTGACATCCTACATAACTAAGTAGGTGTGTTTAATTTTTAATTTAGTTGTATAGTTTACATAAAAAAGTTGAAATATACTTTCGATTAAAATCGCTTATGAATTAGATTGGTTAATAAAAATGTGTAAAATATTTGAGTGTAAATATATCAAAATGTAATAAAACGATAGTATGAAAGAGAACTGACTGTGAGGTTTGTCGAGGTCCATGTGGTGCGGCGAGCGCGCGGCGCCGTCCTCGTCCTCCTCCTTGCGCTCCAAGGGACTGTCGCGCTCCGACAGCCGCCGCTCTCTGCAACACATTTATACTTTATATTCCTTATCAAAAAACAAATTATTTTTATCTATACATGTTTTTAAACAGTTATATCAATATACAATATATTTAAGTTGAATATTCTCTGAATAAAGAGTGTATTTCTTAATTGTTGACTCAAACATAACCTTATTATTTTCCCACTTTAATAGGGTCGGCAAATATGGTCGTCATCCAAATATATGTTTTTGTCTTCTTAATTATGCAACCTCTTACAAAATTCCAATCTTTTTAGGCAAATAATTGGTATTATGTATATATATGTGTGTACCGATGTGGTGACAGGTCGAGGCTGCTGTCAGGTGTGGTGGGCGGCGTGTTGTCGAGCAGCGCGTGCCGGCGCGCCCAGCCCGGCGCCGCGCCCCCCGCCCCCGCCGCCACCTGCTCCGCCGCCGCCGCCACCACGCCCACGCCGCCCAGCGCGCCCAGCCCCCCCGCCATGCCCACACCCGCGCCCACGCCCACGCCCGCGCCCACCTCACGCGACCCACCAGCGTTGCCGCGCTCTTCTGCTGCAACACACAACCGTTATTTGCAACAGCCGTTAACATCTATTGGCAATTAATCATATTGACATGAGGTTTGAGGATCTAGTAATGATTAGCGTTATTGGCTCATATGAAAAATGTCTCAAGTGAAATGTCAACTATTCTTCCTCTGTATGTTTTTTAAAACTCTCTCTTAGAGAGAGACATTTATTTCCCATTCAATGTTTTTAACCTTTGGAGTGTGAGTGATGAGGCGGCGCGCAGGCGAAGGGCAGCGTGTGCTTGTGCCGGGGCGGCGCAGGCTCCGCATCGGGCGCCGGCGAGCCGGGAATCGTCTCCTCACACAGCAGCAGTGATATGTTGCTGTCGTCCTCCGCGCCCCCCGCCACGCCCCCGCACACGCCGACCACGCCACCGGATACACTTCCCCCCGCGCCCATACCGCTGGTGCCGGCTCGTCCACTGCCCGCAACCACCACGCTTGCACCTGTAAAAGATAATCAATCTGTTACTATAACGGTAGAATATATAAAAGATGTCATATGATAAATATAATATTTTGCATTTAGTTATCCTGACATTAACAAATAGAGAATTTTTGGCGATTATACCTAAATTAATAAGTGATACTGAGCAAAACTGTACTTATCATTGTCTGATCAATGACTACTAAAATGTTCTCTTAGTTTTTTTAATAAATACTGTAACTGACTATGTTTCCGTTCATTCTTGCAGGCGTCTTCTAGCATTAGAAGCGATTCTCCGGCGCTCCACTCGCCGGGCGACTTGCCGGCGTGCAGCGCGCGCGCGCCGCGCCCCTCCAGGCTGCCCCCGCTACCCCCGCTGCCGCCGCTACCCCACTCCTCCATAGACACCTTGTCTATTATCAACCTAAATGAAACAAAAGAATTACTTTTATCTCTATCTCACTTTTAAAAATAACTTAGGTTTTTACCTAGGCAAGGTAACAGAAAAGGCACAAAAATATTTCATACAAAAAAAAAAACAAATGACCCTGCTTAAAAAACTTATAGAAGACAGAAACAACTTTAAAGTGGATGTTTCACTGATAAGGGATAAGGAAGATGTATAATTTTTTGCTGATATTGTGACTTTAGTTAAGAGAAGTTCCCCTCTAATTGATTTTTTAAAAGAAATACAATATTTACCTTCTATCGGAGTCATCTGAATCGCTGGTATCGCTCCTGTCTGCGGGCGGGAAGGGCGGCAGGGGGATGCTGGCCGCCGATTGGTTTATCTGGCTGGACAGCTTCTGTATGGTATCGCTGAGCACCTTGTTGTTCTTGCCGGGCGCGCTTAGAGGCAGCTCGGCCACGCTCTTGCGACGCTCTAATATGTTCAAAGGACTCTGCAAACGTGGCGGTGTAGGCTCCTTACTCTTAATCTTCTTAATATCCGATAAATCACGTTTCAAATCGGTAAAGTTAGAAGGCTCTCCGAATATCGAGTCGGATAACGGTAACGGACTGATTTTTTTTATCGGCTCTATTTTAGTCAATGGTTTCAATGGTTCAGATTTAATGAGCGGTTTGATTTCTGGAGATATAGCGGACAGTTTGTCTTCTTTTGGCAATGGAATATCTTTGATCGGTGTTAACGGTCGGTCGATAGTATTAACCGGCGGTGGAGACATCGACAGTCGTTTAGCACTGTTTATAGCTTTTAGTAGTTTCTCAGCGATCTTGGGACCTTCGGATTGTAGCAGGAAGCCGGGAGGCGGCTCCGGGAGCACGTCGATACGCGCCGGACTGTCCGGTTCAGATTTATCTTCTTCTGTATCAATAAGGGGACTTGATGGTGGTTCTAACTTTGATACAATTGGTTCCGGATCTAATTTTTCGATCTTTAATTTCAAATTTCCTTTGTCTTTAGGTTCTGTAGCGGGCAAGGGAATCGATAGCAGCTTAAGTTGTTCTTCTTTATCTATTGATGATGTATGTTTTGGTTCCTCAGGCGATTCAGTTGAAGAAGTGGCTACTGAGGTTTTTGAAGCAACACTATTGCTCACATCTAGCGCTTGTAACTTACTTTGAGGCGGCGGTGTCCCTGGAGGCTGTGGTATAAAATTTATTTGTTGTTCATTTTCTTGTAGAATGATTACAACTTCCTTAACCGTATCGAGGTCATGAATTTCTTCTTTGATTGGCTCCGGAACCTCAACTATCTCTAGCAGCGGTGGTTCTGAACTCGGTTCACTCTCTTCTTTCATTTCTTCGGGTTCATCCTCAGACGACTGCTCATCATCAGCCGGGCTATCGGGTGAATCGTCGATCAATTCACGTAATTTGTTGACTTTATTCTTTTTAGAATAAGTTTCCTGGTTCTTGGCCGGAGTGAATCCTTCGAAGATCGGTCCCAAGCTACTTTCGCCTGGTAACGAGTCATCGTCAATCGAGAAAAGACCATCTTTCGAGTCTTCTTCGGGACTCCGTCTACTCGGTTCGTCTCTGGTTGCGCCGAATTCTCTGAATGGCGATAGAGATGGAGACCTTAGAGTGGAAGGTCGAGGTCTCAATGAGTCCTCAGATATTTCCTCGCTTAAAGACTTTGATAAAGTCGATGTATATTTGCTCGGTGAAATATCATCGAAAATACGATGCATTCGTTTCTTTTTCTCATCGTGGAGTTCTATTTCGAATGGTTCCGGTTCTTTGAATTCGTACACATCTTCTGGTTGTTTTTCAGGTTGTGGTGGTTCAGGCGGTTGTACTGTTATTTGTGTTACGGGGCTTGGAGTTTTATCTTTTTCAGGTTTGGTATCCTCCGGCTCCTGTTTAACAGTATGCAGTCCTTTTAGCTCTGATCGTATTTCATTGAGGTCGTAATCTCTGCCTTGGTGCTGATGATTAGCGACGTTAATGCGAGGTTTTTTCGCCGGTGAGACCATTGTTGGAGTAGATATTGTTCTCACGGGTCTTTTACGAGGTTTGCTTGAGCCACTGCTGTCACTCGACTTGGCATCTTTAGTTCTAGGTGGCGCTGTGGAAAATAATTGTTAGTCGTTAAATAATTGTTCATATAAACGTGTAATATTCTCAGGATTTAGGTAACTTACTTTTAAGACTAGGCTTGTCATCAGGTTTTTTACAGGCTCGTTTAATATCATCATCGCTGTCGGAATCTGTGTCAGAATCAGAGCGGGCAGATGATTCTGTAAATGAAGTTTCTGAAATTTCATATTTATATATTTTGTTGTAAAGTTATCACAAGAAAAAAATTAAATGTCACAATCTGGATATACATTTTCTTACCTTCAGTTCTTTTAGTCCTGGAACGGCGGCTTAAGCTGGTATTCTGAAAATTAAAGTGAAAATTTTCGATAAAAATATGTATTACTAAGGCTTTTTTTCTTACAACCAAAGTTACATAAAATTTTCTTAGTGTTGTACTATAAAAATGTTTTACTATAAAAACATATTTATAAAGTTTTTTTTTTGTATTTATATAACACTATAACACGTTTTATGTGCTTTTACAAAGTTATAGGTTTAATCACTCTTTGATTATCAACAACTCTGAGAACCAATCAAATACTTTGTTGTTTAGATCGAAGTGACATCTCAGCGCCTAATGACGTCACAAAACTCCGGCCGCTTTTTAATCGCACGAAAATGATTGTGGTATTTTTTTAGCTTAATTAGTTTTTTTAATATAATTATTTTCTGGTTATCTCATAACAAGTAAAAACATTAAAAAAAAAGAAAAAAAAGCGCACCCCTATTCCCGACTGCGGGACTTGCTAAGCATTAACTCTGAGAATGTAGTACATATTACCTTCTTATTGCGTGCGTCATGTTGTGTGAGATTGAGTGCAATCCGCTGCGGTTTGATCCACTCGTCGTAGCGCGTGTTCCAGCCCGTGTAGTGCACCCGCAGCAGGCCCTCGCACGACACCTCGATCACCTTCGCCTCGTACGTCACCTGCAACACGCATATTCTAGCTGTTCTCCGCTACTTCGTCCTTACTGAATCAAAAATATCCGGTCAATATTGCTAGCATAGGGATGGTTATTTTAAGTATTTGAACAGCGGCTTTGGAATTATATTTAAAATTTTAATGTATTTTTATTAATATTTTCAAGTGAATAAGCGACTTTCGATAGTGTATAGTTTATTAAAATCATACTAATCATACTAATATCATAAATGAGAAAGTTTAGATGGATAGAAGGATGATTGTTAGAGTCTGTAGCCTGGACTTATTTCGAATGAAATTTGATACAGATGTAGAGGATAGTCTGGAAGAACACATAGGCTACTCACTTTTTTTTTAATTCCGCGCGGATGAAGTCGCGAGCGAAAGCTAGCTTGACATTAATTTAATAAAAATTGATGTAATAAAAATATTTTTATTTTAAAAGTACATACCTTTGATTCAGATTGCGTAGGGCCGTAGTAGACTTTCAGCTTGTCACCAACTTGCGCCTTCACGCCGACACCGCCTGACCGCGTGCATTCACTCATTGACGGCCTTTGCAAGATTATATATAATTATTAGTATTATAATCTTACTAATATTGTAAATGCGGAATTTTTTTTATAACATAAGGTGGCAAACGAGCAAGCGGCCACCTGAACCCGCCAAAATGGCGAAGCGACCGCTGCCCATAGACATCCGCAAGTGTAGATGCGTTGCCTACCCTTAATCGACAGTGGACGAGACGCACATAAAGAGGATATTTCCCCTTCCTATGCATCTCCTCCTCCGTCAAATCCACTTCCCCTTCTCATCCTCTCCTTATAAGGAAAGGATGGTAAAGAGAAAGAGACTAAAATTAGGCCTCCCTCTCTAATAGACTTATGTTAGATTTGTCATAGTCATTTGTTGGTTAGTCTGCAAGGACACATAGGCTATTGACTTTTTTTATTCTATGTGGATGGAGTTGCGGGTTAAACCTAGTTCTATATAAATAAATAATACAGTATATTTATTCTTACTCGGTGGTCTTCCTCTTGCGCGGTCTCTTGCTGCTGTTGGAGGCGATAGTGTTACCACTGCTGGCGGAGTTCGCGCTCTGACTGCGACGACTTTGCATCTTCTTTGTAGGCCCACATCGACTGAAGAAAAAACAACATTCATCAAATACAATTTCTATAATAAACTATGTATTAATGACTTGTTTTAAAATTGTAATTTAAATGTCTTCATACATAAATTATTTTTATAGTCCTTGGCTCCCTCTGCGTACAAGGAAAGTATAAAAAGAGTGGAAAGGGAAAAGGTAATTAGGTATCCGACACAAATACTATTAAAAAGTTATAAAAAAAATAATAAAAACGATTCTAAGGATCTATAAATAATATAAAAAATAGAAACAAATTACTGTGAATCGTGGCTAAAAGGCTTAGAAGCTTTACAGTACAACATTGCATAGAATTTCTGTTATTATGAATACAGTCAGAGTTAGTGAGGTATTACCTGGAGGCGCGGCCGGAGCTGTCGCTGTCAGTGGAGGCGTGCGGGCGGCGCGAGGCGCGCTGCGTGCCCGCGCTCGGCCCCTCCGACACTGTCAATATACATACATGAAAACTTTTCTTACTAATCTTAATAATTTATTTATTTTTTTATAATAAAAAGGGCAAACGAGCAGCGAGAACACCGAGGTGGTCAGCGACGCCCATGGACATGCAACACCAGAGGAACTACAGATGCGTTGCCGGCCTTTGAGGAAATGATAGACTCTTAACTTTGACATTTATAATATTAGTAAATTCTTACTAATATTATAAATGTCAAAGTTTAGATGGATAGGATGGATAGATGGATGTTTATTAGAGTTTCTAGCCTAAACGGCTGAAGGGATCTCGATGAAATTTGGCATAAATGTAGAGGATAGTCTGTAAGAACACATAGGCTACTTGCTTTTTTTTAATTCCACGCGGACGGAGTGTCGGACGAAAGCTAGTTTATATTAGTATATCAAATAAATGTTAACAAAATCTTTGATCATAACCCAATATGTAGTCTCTAAATACAAAACATCAAAGTTAACGATTGTCTTATGAAAAAAACATGGCATACAGATTTTTACTTTATAGTTTCAAGTTCAAAGTCAGGTTGATATTTTTTTATAGTACGAGGTAAATGAGTAAGCGACCCCCATAATAATTAGCTAAAATAGTAAAACGATCCTGACCATAGATATTTGCATTTGCAAAAGCGTTGCCAACTTTAAAAGGCAGAAGAAGGCACAAACATCTCCCCTGACAAATCCGAATGTTAGACAATCTCATTCTGTCTGAAAAATTTATCGAATAACCATCATGCACTGTAACACATTTTATATAATAAAAATACTAACTTTTAGGATGAAAAGGTCTCCTTTTAGGTGTTCTCTTCTCGTGTAATTCAATCTTAGCGACCGAGGAGCTACGCGTATTGGACTGCGAGCGCGGCTTGATCACTGTCTTCTCTTCGCTAGTCCGTGTCGACACTTTATCTTTATCCTTCTCTTTTTCTTTCTCCTTTTCTTTTTCCTTCTCTTTCTCTTTTTCCTTCTCTTTCTCCTTTTCCTTTTCTTTCTCCTTCTCTTTGTCGATTCTGTGGAGTTTAAAACATTTTTATTACAAAATTATAGTAATTTTCACATATGTAGACAGATCTTAAAGTTGCACAGAAAACAATTTTCGGTGTAACATGATAAAGACACTGCACATGACTTTAAGGCACCAATATATTTGAAAAGAATCGTAATAACAGTATATCTATGCATATTTTTAAGGCTCTGTATGACTTACTTGGGCGCGGGAATAACTAGCGGCTGATTGTCAGCGCTGTCGTCTTCATCGCTGGCCTGGATGTTCTCTTTCATCTTCTCCATCTTCTCCATTTTCTCAATCTTCTCATCCTTCTCACTTTTGTCACTTTTCTCCGTCTCGCTTTTGTCCGAATCTTTATCTTTGCCGCGCTAGTGAAATGAATAAATGATTTAATATCAAGTAAATAACTATTCTTTATTGTAAAAAGTAAAATTTTGTATTAAACACAATAGCGATAAAAACGTTTGCCTATAAGTGACATAGAAAAAACGTACTATTTATATTGGCGCGTCTACGGTTCTGATAATGCAAATACGCAGCCTATGGCTTAGTAAAAAAGACTCTAATATGAATTTAAGAGAGGAAATACTACGAGCGATTAAACACTCTACTTCAAGGAAGAGAAAGTGTGATTTGTCTTAAGCGAAAATTAAAAACGGCTCAACTCACGTTTTAACCTCCGGTGACGGCATCGACTAGTTTCAGACCCTTCAGGGGTCCTACTTCGGGGGGCCTTAGTGGGAGGCGCGACTTAACCACGAACAAAGTTAACTAATACACGCCTTGAGGGACCCCTGAAGGGTCTGAAACTAGTCGGTGCCGTCACTATAGGATAAAAGCGTGAGTTGAGCCATTTATAATTTTCCCTTAAGATAGTCTCAGTCTCACGATAATTTAACCAATTTGTGATTTGTCTATTATAGAGGAGTTTGTCAGTTACCGTGGGCGTGGGTGTGGGCGTGGTGGGCGTGGGCGTGGCGGGCGAGGCCAGCAGCTGCTTGTCGCGGTCTCGTATGAGCGAGCGTCCTGCGGGCGGGGTGCGCGCGCCGCGGGGGTGCGCCACCAGCGTCACCCCCAGCTTGCGGTAGAAGTCTTCGAAGCTGTGCAGGAACCTGGTGCGGAGTACATTTATTATAGAACTTTAAAATTATATTAGTTAAAAACTCTGTAAAGGAGTAAAATCAAGCAACTATTTATATCTTGCTATCAATCCGAATGATAGTCATTTATAGAAAACTAGATTACGCCCACGACTTCGTCTGCGTAGAATTATAAAAAAATGTGTTATTCCAGGCTATGTTCCAAATATGTGCCATATTACATTGCGATCTGTTCAGCAGCAGTCTACAAACTCAAACAAACATCCATCCAACTAAACTTTCACATTTGTAATATTAGTAAGAAGTAAGATAAAATTTAAACTTCATATAATTTTTTCTATTCTATCCAAGAGTGTTTAAAGGTAGGGCTAGTATACAAGTATGTTGAACATGGAAACCCACTCTAATAAAAATCACAAGTATCTCAATAATTGAATACCAAACATGAACTACAAAGTTCCACTTACTTCTTATATGCTTGCTTACAAAGATTAGTGATACTCGTGGTAACTGGGTGGAAGCCCATCTTGTCTGCAATCGCCTTCCATTGATTTTGATTCGTAACACGATTGTAGCCGCCCACTTTTTGGACAACCTGTAAATTGTCAAAAAAATAAATAACACATAAGGTATACTTAAAAAAAATGATAGATTTATCAATATGACAAACGCTTTATAGGAAAAGTCTCACAATATGAAAAGTTTTTAATAATTAATATATCCAATACATTTTATTGATAAAAACAATATTTTCATCGGCATTAGGCATTTCTTATACTTCTTACTTAATCTATGTTAAGGGAAAATAAAGCTATCTTTATCTTTTTATACTTTTTACAACCCAAGGTTAATTAATTAACATAGAATATAGAAATAATCCAACTTACACGGAAAAGTCTATATAAATCGATATCCCGGTTAGCGATGGTGGGATTTCTATTTAGCGGTGTGCCACGGTCGTCCATAAACTTGTAAAGCTGAGCCACGAAGTGGTCCTTCTCCTCCCGCGGCTCGTCATCCGAACTCTAAAAATGTACAATAATATCAGACACATTAACTATATCCACTGTAGAAACCAAAGACATTTAAATTATAGACAAGGCATAATGAACAAATATTTTTCACCGGTACTATCTCTGAAAGGTACTATATAAGTTGTCAAGTTTACTACCTCATGTCTTTGTATTGACATGTAATAAAAAAACTTTACAAAATTATAATTAGCTTCATCTTTTGATATATCACAGAAAAAAACAGAAATATTTAATTATTATTTCATAACACCTATATATTGACACGTGATTTTGAGGACCTATTAGTAGATACTGTTAGTGATGATGTGAAAAATGTTTCAAGTGAAGTGCCAACTATACCTTCTCTATTTATTTGAATAACTTTGGTAGAATAATTTATACAAAGACATGTAATACGCCCAACCAAGCATATTAAAAAACCCCGCTTGAAGGTGCTTCAATTGCCTTCTTACATTACTTTCATATGCAATGGAGTAATTCTATATGACGAAGATTTTTATATTCCAGGTCAAGCTGTAATTTTTTTTAAAATGTGATAATATTATATGAATTTATCTATGGAAAGGTTTAACGCTAGCTTCTTATGGTTATGGTTTAGAAATCTAGTAGTTGTTTATGATTTGCAAAGTTATTTGAAATGAAATGAATTATTTTGATTAGTTAGTTATTTTATTTGTATATTTTTATGTTTGTCAAGTTGTTAATCATTCTACAACTTGTCAACTGGATATGCATCCACACAAAATAACACATCCTCTTTACTCAAAAATGAGATAATGAGTCATGAAGCAAATGATATATGAAGTTATTTGGTATATTTAATTTTTTTTTTTAAATATACCTTACATAAAAATTAATAACATCTTTTCATGAAAATGGACTTTTAGTGTAGGCAGTTCAACTATATTATCATTGAAATAACAACTGTTTGAAGCCGTTATTTCCAATAACCATAGTTTAGTTAACAAAGAATATTTTTTCTTACTGACCTTTAACGTTTTGTTTTCCTAGGCCAGCGTGTGTTGAAGTAAATATTAATTATTTGTCACATTAATTGGGTAATTTTGACAGAACAATAACAATAATAATTGACAGTAGACAAAATAACTTTGTAATAGTTGAGATGCCTTATGATTCGTTAATTTCTAGACATGGTATGATGATAAGTGTTTATCACTTAATTAGAGAAAGAAATGTACTTAACAGTTCACAACCAATACTACAAAATAAAACATAAAAGAAAATCGAAAACAATAAATAACTTTTATATTCAGATAAAACTAATCCAATGTTTATAAAACAGAACAGACAAATATTTTAATTGAAGTTAGGCAATGCATCTGCAACTAGCTGTTGCCTGTGACTTCGTCCATGTTAATTAAAATAAACTATCGCCCGTATTCACAAACGACACTGTGAGGTCTCATAGTATGCTCGAGCGCACAGGGCTGGTAAAATCAATTCACAAACAACACTTAAGTGCCACAGCGCACTATGCGTTCCCTAAAATGAACGCACAGATAAAGTAGTTCCGCAGCTACTTTGGACAACGCATAGTGTTGGTTGGTAAGAATCTTTCCATGTCTGTCAAAGAAGATGGCACCAAATTTTACTACCACATACCATATCATAGTAGCTACTGCTATACTTTATAATATTTTAGGACACCATGGCATTCCTGAAATTATTGACGAAGAAATAAATTACCAGCATCTAAACCATGGAACTCAAAGAAGAGAAGAATCTTCATCAGGACTTTTATTTAGGAGGATGTTCATAATACGTCATTTC